TTATTACTTAATGTAGTTACCCAAAACATTTTCATAAACTCTGAAATTAATTTTTAAGGGACAGATTCTTTAGCACATCTGAGATCAGTTATTGAATTTACCAAGGTGCGCCAGTGAAGATTTAACCCTTGAGAAAGAAAATACAATAAAATATCTTATCGTAGCTCCACTGTTATAGCTAACCAGTTTTGTAGCTCAGAAGGTACTGTAAGTACTCTGAAGCAGAGGTAATTCGTTATTCTCTACCTCAATAAAGATCCAAGTGCTGACTTCATAGTTTCTCTTTAATCAAAAGTTCACTTCCTTAAAGTAGAAAATTATTTTTGATTTCATAATGTTTTAAAAAAGAGGCACTGTATATTCCATAAAATGAGAAAGATCTTGCAAAACCAGGCCAGCCTGGTGGTGTAGTGGTTAAGTTCGCATGCTCTGCTTTGGCGGCCCGGGGGTTCACAGGTTCAGATTCCGGGCACAGACCTACACACCGCTCATCAAAGCCACGCTGTGGCGGCATCCAAAATAGAGGAAGATGGGCATGGATGTTAGCTCAGGGCCAATCTTCCTCAGCAAAAAGAGGAAGATTGGCAATGAATGTTAGCTCATGGCCAATCTTCCTCACACACACACAAAGATCTTGCAAAAACATTTTCAGCACATATGATAATGTTAAAATTTCTGATTTTATGAGAGCTCTTATTTAAGAAAAAGGCCACCACCCAGTAGAAAAAAGGGGCTTAGGACACAAACAGGCAATTCACAACAAAATTAATTTCATTAATAATTAAATGTAAATTAAAACATAATTTTTATATAATTTATTAGATTGACAAAGATTAAAGATAACTGAATAGCATTGGTATTGAAAGTTTGAGGAGATAAAATCTGAATTTAAGTGGGAATATAAACTGGCATGTCCTTTTCAGAGAGCAATTTGGAATTACCATCAAAATTTTAAATGTGCATGCCTTTTAACTTAGCACTTCAGTTTCTAGGAACTTATCCTTTACAAGTGACAGAAACAGGACATTCATTGCACGATTATTTGAAATGGCAGACTGTAAACAAATCAAGTGTATAACGTTGAAAAATTGGGTACATAAAATTTTTGTTAGTCCATATCTTTTGCAGTTGTTAAAAAACTGGAGAAAGTTCCATATATACTGACATAAAAATATGTCCAAAATATATCGATACATTGCTTAGTGAAAATGTCTTTTTAAAGAAGACTATGATTTAATTTCTGTTAATAAACATGTGTAGACACAAATGCAATGTATATCATTGAAGAAATCTAGGAGCCTATTAAGTATTAACAGTGGTTAATTCTCAGTGATAGGAGCCTGAGAAATTTACAATTCCATTAATCTCTGTAATGTTTGAATTTTATGATAACCATATGTTCCTTTAGTAGTCAGAAAAAAATCCAAAGATTTAAAAAAGATAAAATAAATGTAACAATAATTCTGTAGACCAACACAAGTAGAGGGATTGGCATGAAAAAAGGCAAAGTATTTGGAAGTATAGAGTGAGGTGTCCATTTTGCCTGGATTATAAAGGATGTGTCAAGGAGTTACTGGGTTTTGTGTTTTTTTTGAGGAAGATTGGCCCTGAGCTAACATCTGTTGCCAATCTTCCTCTTTATTTATTTTTTTTGCTTGAGGATTGTCCCTGTGCTAACATCTGTGCCAGTTTTCCTGTATTTTGTATGTGGGTCACTGCCACAGCATGGCTTGATGAGCAGTGTGTAGGTCTGCACTTGGGATCTGAATCGCGAACCCTGGGCCGCCACTCAAGCAGAGTGCGCAAACTTAACCAGTACACTACCGGGCTGGCCCCAGGAGTTACTATTAATAATGTAGAAAATATGTTGAGGATTATCTTGTGACCAGGCCTTAAATGTGGAACCACGAAGTTTAGACTTAATTTGGTAGGCAGAGGGGAGTCATCTGAGACCTCTGAGCAAGAAAGTGGCATGACCAATTTCCTTTGAAGAAAATCAGTCTGGGAGTAGTTGGTAGGTAGGTGGGAACAAACTGAAAATAGGAACACTAAGTAAAAGGCTGTTGAGGGGTAATGACTATCTGGCCAGGTGGTTGTAGGAATTAGAGAAGCAGACTAACAGATATGAGAGCCAGTGTGTATCTACAGGTAACCAAATACAGAGGCTGATGGAGAGGGATGAGACAAGGAGGCTTAATGCCTGAGCAGCTGAGGGAACATTGGTGCCTTGAACAGAAATAAGGATCACGGGTTGAAGATTTCCTTTGGGGGAGGGTTTGCCCCAATCTGCCCTTCCAGACTCAATTCCCGTAATAGCTGTCTAGCACATGAATAGGTGCTCGGTAGAGTGATTGGATTTACCTAAGTTTGTGCTATTTAAGCTACAGTATACCTGTTCACCATTCCTAGAATATGACATGCATGTTTTGGGAAGGACATCAGTAATAGTAATGATGATATGATGGTGAAGATGATAGGAGCTATTATTTATGTAACACTTATTATCTGCCAAACTTTTCACATGTCCAAGGTCACCTAGCTAATAAATCCAGCTGAGACTTGAGTGGCAGCCTGTCTGAATCCAAGCCTGAATCTTTAACTGCTATCCTTGCTGTCTCTCGGGTAATTGGAAATGTGGATCTGGAGCTCAGATTAGACATGCACTTAAGTCATAGTGTAGCTGCATGTCTAGTAATCATTGGTTTTGAGATGAGCAATAATCTATTACTTACAATTGCATACTGCACAGTTGGCTTTGAGCATAGTACAGCTCTCCATTTGACACCCTCTGGGGAGTTAGTTTTGTGGATAACTGAGGTTAATGATTTAAATGTCAAAATTTACTTTTTAAAAGTTTAATTACTCTGGTTGGTATCTTTCTAAACATATTATAGTCATCTTTATATGTTTAAGTTTTCTGCAATGTGCATTTATCATTTTTATAATTATAAAAATACTAACATATATTTTATGCTCTCCTATTTTCTAGAACTATATATCCTGAACATAATTTTTTCTTTATGACTCAGGGTTATCATCATGAGCATACTATTTTTGCTGGGTTTTAGAATATAATGATCCTATCAAGAAATATGTTAAGTGTAGGGGGCAGTTTATACTTATGTCTTCTTGCTGCAGTACTTTGTCAGTTCTGTCTTATTTTTTAAAAATAGTGGCTCTGTCACATTTGTTGTGGTGGGTGTCTTGCTGCTCTCAGTGTGCAGGCCTGTAGCAATTTTTTTGCCCTTTTGCTGCTTCTTAACTGTAATGGTTTAAGAAATTGGTTAGCCATTCTCTTCAGTTTTATTTAAAATAAATGTTATCAGGTTGTGGATAAAGGCTTGAGGAACATACCTGTAAGTTCATTGAGCTTTATTTAATATGTGGACTTTGAGATAAACATCCTGAAGTTCTGTGTGCTCACTTTTGGTTCCTGGCTGCATGATCGGTGGTGGGTGAAACATTGTATTTGTTTCTTTAAGAGCCTTTAGAGAACATTGCTTTTTATTTTTTAAACTTATTCATTTAATGGAGAAATAGAGCTCTAAAATATAGTTAATCATCATGTGACTAGATGAAGGTTTATTTCTCAGCTGTCAGTTTTTAACTCAGAAATCGTTCCCTTGACATTGTTGGATAGATTCTGTTAGGTTGTAAATGTGGATTTTAAAAAATCATTAATAACTGATATGGATGGACATGGCTAAAAGATTGTGAAGAACAATATTAGTAATTTTGGGTAGATTGTACTGATTATAATTTTGTGAGCAACTGAAAAATTTTATATGTTCAAAGTCTAAAAAAACATGATTATATATGGAAAGAGATTTTCTAAAAGATTATCTATCATCTTAAAAATCATGTAAGAAATTATTGGAATTAATACTTAGGACTTACAAGTAAAGGTAAAGTTCTGTTTTAATGACTTAATGGGAAATTGGTATTATTTTATCAAGTTTAATTGTGTTTAAAATGTAAGCTTATTGCTACAGTTTACTTAACTCCGTTGTAGAGCAATCTCTTCCTTCCATAAAATCCACCCCCTATTAAGATCCCAGCATACATGTGTTGAGAGCAGAGGGTTTAAGCTCATTTTCATTTAATTTCTTGCCTCGTGTGCTGACTGGTACTTATTAACATATGTGCTCTATGAAATATTGTGTTATAAAATAGTTGAGTCCGTATTTGATCACTTAATATTTATTGAGGCTTTACTATATGCCAGGCACTCTCTAAGATGCTGGAGATAACATCAGCTTCAACCAACCAGGCTCTGTCCTTGGGAAACTTCTTAGAGGGAAGATGCAGACTACTAAGAAACAAATTAATCTGTTATATATCAGGTGGTCAAGTGTTGTGAAGAATCAGGGTGATTGTGTGGGGGTTGCTGCTGGGACATGGAAGTTAGGTGCTAAATGAGACCTGATATGACAATGGTCTTTGATAAATTTGAAGAGGATATTTCTTGAGGCAACAGAAGGTTGATGCAGAAAACCTCCAATGTTTTAGAAAATGGAAAGTCAGTGGCACATTATGACCAGAGAAATATATCTTGTGGAGCGTACGTGGTGATAAAAGAAAGTGTGTCTGCATTCAAAAACAAGGCTATTAACTTTAAAATTACATTTGTGATTAATTAATAAAATTGAAGTAACAAACGTCATTATTCCCTGATGTCGACAGGTGTAACCGTGCCGTATGTGATAAGGACGGAATAAGATAGCTGTGTTTGGCTGAGTTTGTTTCTTCCCTTTTCTTTCATTTTCTTTATGTTAGTGGAAGAATTAGAGATTATTTTCAAAGCATAGATAAAAATATATTAATACTTTAAAAAATATGTATTTTAAAATGCATATTTCTGTTTACCATTACAAGTTTAGCTTTCAATTTAAACATCTAATTTTTATGTTGTTGCAGTAATGCCATTATTTGTGTAAAAATTTTTCTCAAAGATAACATTCTTTGTTTTCATATAAAATTATTTTTCCAACTGTTTTCAGATGATATGCAGAATGTACATAAGGAAGATAAATCTTTAAGTCTGAGTATGCCTGTAATTACGGAAGAGGAAGAGGATAATGCAAGTTTTAGTGAAACAGGTACAGATGAAATTTTGTCAAACTACTGAAGGCAAGTTATGCTCGTGGAGCATCGAGGGTTAGAACCCTTGAAGATCATGACACTTGGCTGTGTGTTCTTGTGACGCTTTGGCACCTTGAAAGATTTTAGTATTAATCATACCGTTAATCATGACACTTAAAGTAAATTATAATACAATAAATGAATGGATATGGAGAGGCTGGTGGAGGTTGGTGGAGGTGAGAGGTGATAGGGAAAAATATCCTTATCAGTAAGTGAATATCCCTTGTCATGAGGGTGTCTGGTCTGGAATGTATTCCTAACTAAAAGCAAGGTTCACAAAATATGAATTTCTGGATATAACTTAAAAGTGAAGATTTTATTGTTAAAAAGTATTTATTTCAAATTCTAGTAAATGTAAATTTTTCACCTATGAAATGACAGTTGTAACTAAATAGTGGTATATTGCACAATATGAATTAAGATAGCTATACCTTTTAGTATTGCTGTGGTTTTCATAATTTGAGTATTAAACAATAGTTTAAATAACTATTTTCAGTAATAATTATAGTATTACAGAGAATAAGTTATATTTAGCAGGCTAGGCTTGATAATTAGTAATCAGTGATAATGGATATGATAACGTGTATAATGATAATGAATATAATGTGTATTAAGAATACTGCCTAATGACTTTTTTTCATTTTAGCTCTATATTCACTCAGCAAGCATTTACTGAGTGCCTATTGTGTTTCAGGCACTTAGCTAGGTACAGGGATATAAAGATACATCCTATAAGAATTTAAGAACCATTTTATTTTGATCACAGGGACTGTAGATCTGAGCACGGTGACTGGCCATAGTGGACTAAGTAAATATTTGTTGAATGAAGCAGATCAGTCGGTGCCCCCAAGGACCTTCCAGTTTAGGGTGGGAGAGAAACAACTAAACTACATTATAGCAAAGAGAAACAAAGTGCTATAGAAGCATATAGAAGATAAAGAATAGACAATTAAAGGGCATATTTGTTTCTTCAGAAATCTGAGAGCTTCTGTGGTTGGCCTAAAACAGTTCTTTACAATTTTGTGGTGAGTTTTGGACTGAATTTTCTCTCCGGTCTTGATTGGTGGCTTTTATTGTGAGTGAACAATTAAACACACACACATACATCTTTAAAGCTACTTGGCAAGTCCCATTCCAAAATCTGTCAGCTTGTGATTTTTAAAAATTTGGTTTTCATCAAATTATAATTACATATGTACATAGTTTAACAACTCAAGTAATTTTATAATACTCATTATAAGAAACCAGTCTTCTGACTCTGACTCCCATTTCTTACTCCCCAGAGACAACCGCTTTTAACTCTTTACTAATTATTTTGGTATTTACCTCTATGTCTCTAAATAACATATTTATATCGCCACTTCTTCATATTTTAGTTCTGTGGATTATCTGTTGACTTCCCACTAAGGAAGGCAAGGATTTAGTTCTCTTTAATATATTCTTCACCTCCCACCCCAAACACATGTATACTTCTCACCCCCACCCTCCCAATATAAGTGTTATTTTAGTTAGATTAGTATTAGTATTTTAGTATATGTTAGTATAGACTAGTATTAGATTAGTATTCAGCATTTACAAAACATTATTGACAGCAGGGCCATGTCATATACTATGATTCTTAATCAGTATATTTATTGTTTTCCCTAGAGAATTAAAAACTTTTCTTTGCCTTATTAATTAATTCATTTTTTTCTATGTACTTATCACTCACTTATCCCCAAAGTCTTCTTCGGTTATGTAAATGTCCTCTTGGTACATTCCAACACATTAGGCTTTTTCTCAGTTTCGTCTGTTTAAAGAAGCCTCCTCCAAACCTCTGACCTGCCTCACTCTGGGCAGTTTGCTCTCAGCCTGCGCCCTCTGTCCTGGCTGCAGCTCTCTTCTGGGAGTCTGGTTTCTTTTTCTTCTTAATTTTTTCCTCGCCTTTTCTCGTTCCTTTTCCTGTCACTCCCCTCTTGTTTTTCATTGGGGGGGAATATTTCTTTTCTTTACATCTTTCATAATTTTCATGTTTTTATATCTTCTATTATTTTCTTTGTTTTTAATGATCAGTAACTTTTAGGTTCACAACTGTTTCTAGATGGACACTTATTTGAGTGTTGGTTATGGCATCTGCTGTGATAGCCAAAAAACTGTATGGTACTAGTGTTTTGGGTTACATTTTCAGGTTTAATTGAAATGAAATTGAAATCTTAGTCACTTTATCTCTTTTAGCACTGGCCAAGATACGTTTCAGATCTGGCACTCTGGGTCCATGGTAAATATGGGGTGGGCATACCCCTATGAAACAAATTTAGAGTAGCTTATTTTAAGTAGGATTTAGGATGACTAGGATCTAAATTGGTAAGTTTTCAACTGCAGTATCATTTTGAAGAAAACAATCCTGTGTGTGTCAGGTTTCAAGTTTTTCATTGAGCCTTTGCTGTGAAGGCATTCCTCCTGTTACCCCAGTTAGACATCTATACAGTTTAAATGTGTTATCAGTAATATTATTGTTTTTAGATCTGACAGGCTTCTTACTTTTATGTCTTTAGAGTTTACTACACTCAAGAGGAAAAGAAAACACAGAACAAAGAGCCTGGTGTCGAGTTCTTAATTGTGAGCTTTCTGACAGACGAGAAGATTTATATTTTGTGTATTGCACAGGAAGACTGCCAGTATTAAAAATAATTCTTCTGGGAAACTGTAGGTTATTTCTTTGAAATGGCAATACTTTAATACAGTTCTAGAATAAAAGTACAAAAAATTAGAGTAAGACTTCACTCTGAAATTTAATTTTAATATTTTCTTGTATGAAATCTGCATCATTGGAGATGTATGAAATCTGTATCATTGGAGATAAGATTTGGATTTAGACTATAATAGAAATAATACTGTTATTTGCAGATTATTATTATTTCTTACCACTTTAGTGGTATTATACTGTCTTAGTACAGTTGTGGTAATATTAACTATTCACTTTAAAATCTTTTTTCTTGAAATATTAATGTATTACATGTAAATGGCTAATTTTGTATCTACAGTCTAGTAATGTATTTTTTTTATGATGTATGTGAACTATTTGTATATTGTATGGTTAAGTGCAATTAAGTTTTTGCCTTACTTGCTTTATTTTTTAGTGTATGAAACTTACATAATCAGTAACTTATGTGATTGATAACTTAGGAAGCTCAGTTTCTACTTTTGCAGTCAATTAAGTATTCTTTAGTGCTTGTTTTAAAGCTCCCCTTGACCTAACGTTTATGTATGTGCACATGTATGTTTGTGTATGTATAGATATATGTATGTGTCCATATATATGTATACATATGATATGATTAGTCAATACAAGTACAACATATAAGTACTGATTATTTCTAATAAAACCTTTAAAAGTGGTAATGTAAATTCCAGAATGTGTCTGTGATACAGAATAGTTGGTACTTACAGAAAAAAGTTCTGTAGCTTCATGAATATGCCTCTCTGTTAATCTCATTTCAGACATTTAAGTGGAGATTACTTGAGCCATGTTGTTTGAATTGCTGCCAATAGCAGACCATCTCCGTATCCTGTGGCTGGCTCAGCCTATCTTACAGTTGATTATACTCCCTGTTGTTTTCCAGCATCGTCTATTCAGGAATTCTGCAAATGTCCTATGAGTGAAAATATGTGATATCTTTTAAAATCAAAATACTAATGCTAGCCCAGATAAAATTTTCATTTATTAGAATTTATGCTTTCACATTAGCAGCTAAACAAAATTGTTTCCCTTGACTGACTTCAGATGTTTCTGGGAATAAATGGGGCAGTTTTCATAATGTGGACATTGGGCAGAGCTTCGGGGATTTAAATATTCTAGGGTTGGGGCACTCAGAGGCAGGGAACCATTATTGGCCACTTGTATACCAGGTTATTTGCTAGAACTTGTCTGATCACTAAAGTTTACAAACCTTGTACAGCTTACACAGTGAGTTGCCCTCTATGTTTTCACAACAGTGCTTTTAAAATACAAAGTATCATTTCACTTGTACAATGAAGAAACTGTACCTCAGGATGGTAAGTGCCTTGCCCACATTCACAAAGTTAGTAAGTGATGCATCTGGGATTCAAACACAGGGCTCTGGCCTATAATTCAGTGTCATTTTATTTTATTTATTTATTTTTTTGATTTTATTTATTTATTTATTTTTCCCCCCAAAGCCCCAGTAGATAGTTGTTGCTATCTACTAGAAGGATAGATCCTTCTAGTTGCTGTATGTGGGACGCAGCCCCAGCATGGCCGGAGAAGCGGTGCGTCGGTGCACGCCCGGGATCCGAACCTGGGCTGCCAGCAGTGGAGCACGCTCACCTAACCGCTAAGCCATGGGGCCGGCCCCTTCAGTGTCCTTTTATATGAGCCAACAGAAATGGAAATCCAGAGGGATAGTTTTGACTGCAAGCAATAAATCCCGCTTCAAAATGACCTCAACAATAAAGAAAGTTTAATTTAAAACCAGTTGAGTCTCAATGCGGGCTGGCTCTGGGTTTTATAGTACATCAGTTCCATGATGGCTTCATATACCCAGGGTTGGGTCTTCAGGGCAAGCTTGATATCACTGTAGGGAACTATTCACCAGCCAAGTTCCCAGCCAAGGGCCAACCTTGCAAGCAAACCTTTCTAAGGATGGCAGTCTCAGACCTCATTTGTTGCCTCTTCTGCACAGGTCCATTTCATTTTCACTATTTCAAACAATGCTGTGTTGAGCTTTGTGTGTATACCTTGGCTCACTTATGTTGGTATTTATGTTGGATAAATCTGCATGTGAATTTTCTTGTCAGCATGTATATATAAAATTTTGTTAATTATTACCAAATGGAACTCCAAAAAGACCGCCAATTTACATTCCTACTAAGTATTTGCAAGGGACCCTCCATTACACTGGTAATCAATCTTTGTAATTGTTCAGTTGAATACAGCCTGAATCTTAACAGCAGAAAATGTAGAAAGAGAAAAGTAACAACATTGTGCTAAGCGATGTGAGTTGTCACATGGTCACATGGGGCAGAGTGCAGGGCTTTAGCTGAGAGCAAGTCTGTCATGAACATATTTTGAAGATATGATGTGAAACACTTGATAGATTTGCTTTAAATGTGAAATTGAAGCTTATTAAACAGTTCAAATAGAAAATATTTGTGTGTAACTGGTTTTTCAGAATTACAATGTGGTATCCAAATACTGGTTACCTATTAAGCTATTTATTGCTAACTTGATTATAATAAAATAACTGCAGTAAGTTGTAAATGCATGATTTTAATAGTCAATATTTATTAATCTTTTGTGGAGGAGGAGGGGTTATGACAGTGTTCATAAACACAAGCTATATTTTAAAACCATACCACTTTCAGAAATCTTAATATATGAAAGCATTGTTCAAAGTAGAAAATTGGAATTATAGTAGTTTTAATGTTATATACCAGGTTTACTTGGTGTATCTGAAAAACAAACAATGAATAAAAGAAGTGGAACCATAAAGAAAATGGAGCTTGTATGGATGTTTATTAGGGCAGTATTTTTCACTTTGAAAATAAAGAATTGTAATTGATTTCTTCAGAAGAAACTACCCTGGAAATGTGCAGTTTTCTGTGTGAAATAGTGTGCTGTCTTTGTTTCCTTGCCTGGTCTGTTAGGGGTTTATGTTGTAAGCACACCTAAGAGCCCATCTGGGTTTACAACCCCCTTCTCTTAATGCCTCATAGGTTTCCTAACTAAGTGGATGTATTTAATGTGGGGAATATTCCCCAACTCTGTAACACCCAATTACAGTGCTTGTTCCCTGAAACAGACACAGTTGTATCATCTGCAGGGTATTGTCTGCTGCCAAAGAGAGTGAGCCAACTTTTAGGCAAAGACTTGTCTTCTACAGGTTTTCCAGAACAGTGATACCATAGGGAAACACATTAAAAACTTTATCTAAATGGTTTGAATACTTGTAATTTTCAGACTTAGCAACTAGAAAGTCAAAAATTTGTATCCTAGTTCTGCCACTGATTCAATGTGTATCCATAAAAAAAAATTTTTTGTTTAAATCCTTTTCTCAGCTGTAAATTCAAGATAATACAGAACTATTTAACTGACTTGTCAGAAATATTAAGAACTGCATAGTGCTTTGAAAATGCAAAAATATGGATGCTAAACTTCAAAATAATTACAGCTGGAAAGTGTAAGCTTTTAAAAAGTACCTGGACGCCGAGGAAATGAAAGTGATTATTAGTGTTTAATGGGGTGATTATTCTGATGATTTTCTTCAGTCATAATAACTGAAAGCTCACGTGTTTACACATCCTCAGATTGCTATGAGACACAGCTCTCACGGCTCGGTCAACTTCAGGGGTGCCTGGTTGCCTTTTCTCAAACTGAGTTGTGTACACTATAGATCTTCTTTATAACCTGTTTTGGTTATGACAAAAAGATTCACAAATATAGAGAGAGACAAAATATCTTTAAGTGAGGTGTTTTTAAAAATGAACTTTATGACCTGAAAATTACTTTTGCTTTGATGTAAAAAGCCCAGGAAAATAAGAGTTATTAATGCCTTCCCAACTTACCCTTGACTCTTGAATTAAATTACAGATTAAAGAATGTTTTCTTTCTAAATGGCATTGAGAGGACTCTGTGGGTGCTTAGCTATTCACATTTTCATTTATCTTTTGAACAACTGTGGTAGTTTTCATTGCAAATTTAAAAAACTCTCGGTATTAAAGTAAATGCCAAAGCCTCAGGCTGTATAACCCTTTTTATGTGGTATTTTTTATGCCTGAATTATTTGGTTTAATGTGCTGTATATTGCAGGTCTGGATTTTCTTCAAGATAAGTTTGGACAGGCTCCATTAGGTTGCAAGGAACAAAGGCACATTCACCTTATCTTAAATGCTGGGGGCTCATTTTAAGAATACAGAGGACAGTAGGTGACCATCTCATCAGAGGCACAGCTTCTTGGAGAGCTGGAAAAATCGCTTTTTGTCATGTAGTGAACACAGCAGCGCAGATGGCTGCGTTGTGTCCTCATCGTCGAAATGGATGTCTATTGTTGTGTAGTCACAAGTGCTTACTCTTATGCCAGCTTCTCTCTGCCTGTTTCTCCCTCTGCTACTTCTCCTGTCTCTGAAAGAGAATCTGATTGAGTCTACTAGTTATAATCCAAAAGACAGCCCAGGTTGGGCAGAGATTCTACTGGGTCATTCTGGCTTTCCTTATGTCCAACCAAATGGCTGGCCTTAATTAGGACACAGATCCCTGGTACAATCAAGTGTGGCCAGTGTAGCAGAGTCACAAGCCACAGGGCACAGCAAGTTATGTGAAAGGACCCAACTCTGGCAGCTTTCCTTAGAAGAGGTGAGCAGTTCAGGCCTTTAGAATCTCATGGATTTCTCAGTCCAACCATGATTTGGTTAAAATGATAATGATGCTGTACATTATCATCAATATTGCAACTTTGTGAAGTAATCAAATGGCAAAAATGTTCACTTGAGAAACAGCAGCATTGCATGGTGGTTAGAGAAATTGCTCTGGGGACAGACTGCCTGGGTTTGCTCTGGGATTACAGTGTGCACCTGTGACTTAATAAAATCCACCTATAATAAGTTAGGAATGTATATCCTTCACGCAATGTAATTCCATTTAAACCCCCTTCTATCCTTTGTGATATTGTTATATATTTTACTTCTATATGTTATAAACCTCATTATACATTTTTACCTTGCTTTAAACAAAGAAAAAAATAAGAGAAGAAAAAACATATTACATTTATGCCCATATGAATCTTGTCTGGTGCTCTTTCCTTGACGCTAATCTATGCTTTCATTTGGAATACTTTTCCTTCAGTCTGAAGAACTTCTTTTAAAATTAATTTCTTGTAGCTCAGCTCTGTTGGAGACAAATTGTATCAGCTTTTGTTTGTCTGAAAATGTCTTTATTTCCCCTTCAGTTTTGAGAGACATTTTTGCTGGATTTAGAATTCTAGATTGGCAGCTTTTTTCC